GTGCCTTATGGGTCCCCCCCCCATATGGGGGATGAATAAAATTGGGGAAATATTAATCGCTTCGTATTCGTTGGGGTCTCTGGAACCCAATATTTAATGAATCAGCGATTTCTAACAAATATCGTAATCCATTTTTTATTTGTCCCCATGTCTAGTCCTGAGTCATTGCCCCTCCTGTGCTGGGCCATTCTCCTGTTTAGTGACTGTTTGGTTTTTCCCATGTAGAACTCAAAACACTCCTCTTTGCATGGGACCACATATACTATATTGCTCCTGTGGTGTTTTGATGTCTGGTCTTTCGGGTGGACGAATCTTTGCATTAGTGTATTTGTGAGTTTGAAATGCATGGGTATGTGGTGTTTTCCATAAATCTTTTTGAGCTTTTCAGACACACTCGCCATGTAAGGGATGATCAGGTTCTTTTGTCAGCTCTGTATCTCAGCCTGTTCCACTGCCATCCTGGGTTGGGACATTCAGAATTCAGAAACTCTGTTAGTTAAATGCAGAGTCATTTTTTACATAAGTGGTATTTGTAATATCTAAAAGGAAACCTTTGTGGGAAGACACACTAAAAACCAAAACAAACAACAATCCAGTGTGTATCTGTTGCATGTTCCTTGTCAGGCCTTAAAAATTATCCACTGGAAAAAAATACGTAACTGATTGTTCTTTCTGCTAAGGTCTTCAGGCCCTGCCTTTCTTTGCAGGGTCAGATGGCTAAAATAAATGTTACAAAGGAAGCCTGTGATCAAATCTCTTGAATTTAAACAATGTTTAAGGGGTGGGGCTGATTTAGATTAGGATTGTGGTGTAATCACTTCCTTCAAATGTTATTTCCCCATAAAAATCCTTGTTCTATTCAGCAACTAACTTTGCTTTGGAAAAAAAGAATTGTTCTATTGAACACGCAGTTTGGCTCTAAACCAGCTCTTGGTCATTTGCATATATTAAAAGAAAGATTGATATATGAGAAATGGGGTGTGTTGTGTTTCCTGTGGATATGGATGATTCTGTATACTTTTAAAAAGAGAGACTTTAAAGACTGCAGGCGCAAAATGGTAGTAGCAAAAAGATATGACATGTGAATGAACTAGGGACGTGCTCTTTCATGTTTTTCTACTCAACACCCCAGAATTCTCTAAGAATTCCTTGAGCAGAATTCTGGGAGCTTGAGACCACCCGCACAATGTGCAGATCCATAGATATCATCTTCCTAAAAAGGACTTACCTGTGGTCCTGCAACAGTTTTTTTAGTCTTTGTTTACAGTTGTTTGTTTTAAAAATATGACAGTTGCCACAGTGCTTTCTGAGAGCCACAATTCTTTATGTAGTGCCCCGTGTAGAGCCTAATGGACAGTGAGACTACACACTGCAGTGTCCTCCATACTAGAATATAAGGAGATTCTCTCCCACACACCACTTGATGCCTTCTCTTCTCTTCTTTAAACTACAGAGCTGGAAGGGACCCTATGGACCATCATGTCCAGCCCTTGTCAACAAGGCACAGTGGGGAATCGAACTCCCAACCTCTGGCTCCACAACAAATCCTAAACCACTAAGTTACCCAGTTTCTCTTCTCTGATTTCAGCAGGCAGCTGGAGAAAGGCCAGGTGGCAACAAAAAGCAATCAAGAAAGGAAAGGACAAAAACAAAAACAAATCCAAAAAAGAATCCCAGGGAAGCTAGAAACGGGGGAGGGGAACCCCGCCCAAAAATCAAGGCAAGAAGGCAAAAAAGAAGAAGAAGAAAAGAAAAGAAAAGAAAGAAAAAAGAAAACAAGAGGAAAGGAAAGGATCCAAGTGGGGGCACCATTGGCAGGCAGGCAGGCAAGCAGGAAGCATTTGACAATGGAGGACACCAGGAACCCAGCACAAAGAAACCCCACAAGGGGCAACTGAAGCAAAGGCTACTACTATTCACTGGATTCTAGGCCATTTTGCAAATTTAAAATTCCAGCTCTCCTGGATATTCTTATTGGCTGGTAGCTGACAGCCCTTTTCATGCTATTCGATGAAAAATTTCTCAGAAAGAGGGAACTCAAAATAAATATTCATGTGTCTGTCTTTTCTAAACATTAATCATCCGTGTTTTAAAGGTTCTCTTTTAGCCATCACCAAAATAACATGAATTGCATTAAAGAGTATCTCTTTTGTATTTTGGTCTTTTAATAAATATAAAAGGCCAATCTCTATTTATGAGTTGGCTGTTATCTGCAGAGATTCCCAGTCAGTCAACTACCAGTCAACCATCCTAATGAAGATTGTTGTTATCTCTGAACAGTAATACTGTAGGATGAAAAACACTATTTAAACCATGGGAAACACTTGCATGGAAGTGAGCTCCAGATCGTACCCTAGAACACTATTGTATAATTTGCAGCTAGGGAAGGTATTAATTGAAACCAAGGCCGGGAAGTTGTTGCAGTAGGACTTTTGAGCAGGTATTCAAATGCAACTGATCTCTGGTTTCCATGCCTAAAGCTATACCACTAGGTATAGTCCTGAGTAGACCTTCATGCAATTGAACTTTGCATTGCATGCTTTTTTTGGGGGGGGGGAATGCCCAAGCTGATAAGAATAATATCTGGTTCTGCTTTTCCTTGCTATCCCCAAAGTACTCAGCCTCCACACTGTGGTAGTGATACTTTTAAGACCTTTCCCAAGTTGAATCATCTGAGGACCACCCCTGCCCCAAAAGTGCCTGCCACTAATACACATATGTTAATACAATGGAATCCTCTTTACAGATGACCTTGCATTCATTCTGAAATGATTTAGTTAATTTTTAGAAAAAGGAACTGTAGAATCCTTTTAGTGTAGGTCTGCTTGAGAATATATTCGCCAGTGTTACAGTAAGATTCCTGGATTTTTTAAACGCATTACCTTGTGTTAGGCTTCAGGTTTTCCACTGTAGAATGGGTTTGATTTGTAGTTATAATGGACGTGTCCTTTCCTGTTGTGCCTCCATTTTCAGTTGATACGACTTTATATTCTGAAATTAAAAGGAAACTTATTCAGTTATTCTCCCTTGTTCATTTCCCTCTTTGCTTATTATCTGCTAACCCCCCCTTTTTTGCACAATCAAGCTCTTATTAAACTTTAGGTTAAGTGATGTTCCTGTGAAAATATTATATTGCTCATCGTCATTTAGTCGTGTCCGACTCTTCGTGACCCCATGGACCAGAGCACGCCAGGCCCTCCTATCTTCCACTGCCTCCCGGAGTTGGGTCAAATTCATGTTGGCTGCTTCGATGACACTGCCCAACCATCTCATCATTATATTGCTAGACACAGTAAAAACAGTTTTATTTTTGAAATACAGGGAACAGGCAAAGATTATGACCAGAACTTTGTGGGGGAAGGCTGATTAGTAGGTCATGAACTAGTGAAATCAGTCACACATGGCTCTTTTCACAGTAGTTTTTCCTTTAGCTTAAAAGGAAAACTATCCTCAGTAGCAGTATGTCTGAAGTAAGGACTACTTATGTTTAGTTTTCGTGACATTTAAAAAGGTCAGAAGAAATTCTCCCTGTTAAAATTGATATGAATTACACCATGTTCCTGTTTGAGTTCATACCATGTTTATACTAGAGTTATTCAGATAATAGGGCTCTACAGATGAACATGTGAAAGGGATTCTGATTTTTAAAACATAGAGCAGTATCTGTATTAGAAAATAATTCTTTAGTAATAAAAATGGTCGACATTTATTTTAAAAAGTGCTAAAACAGTTTGCCAGTGACCATGTTTTATTCTTCATGTCTTGAAGGGATATGTGGCAACTACATGGATAACACTGGATGAAGCCTTTTCATTACTGAAGTGAAATTTTCACAGTGACAAAATTGCAGGTTTCTAGTGTTTTTTAAGTCATCGAGGGAACAAATGGGGAATATGGTGCTGATGAAAAAAAATCACTTCATACAGAAGTATGTGCTCACAGTTATGTTTATACACTTATCTGTTCCTAAGAAGTGTTTGATTAGTGTAAGAAATCAAATGAAACCTGAAGGACCATATTCAGTATCTCTAAACTAGACTTGGCAAATGAGTGACCTTGCAGATGTTGTTGTTGTTGTTTCAATCTATACACTGCCTCATAGTGTCAAAGAACTCTCTGGGCAGTTTACAACATAGTTATGCAAACAACACTTTGCCCCCAGTGAGCTGGGCATTCATTTTACCAACCTCAGTAGTAAATTGAAATTTCCTACTGCTACTACTACTGATTCTGATTTTCTTCTTCTTAATGTTCAATTGCAGTGATGCTTTTGTATTTTCTTCTTCCACTTTCATCAGAAGTTGTTTCAAGTAATTGCTGCTTTTTGCCAGTAAGAGGGTGTCATCTGCATATCATAAATTTCTGAAGTTTCTTTTACCAGTTTTCACTACTCCTTCATCTGGATCTAGACTGGCTTTCTATATGATATGTCCCACTTACAGATTGAACAGATAGGGAGATAAAATACACCCTTGTCTCACTCCTTTGCCTCCAGGAAACCATTCTCTGTCTCTCTCTCTAAACTGTCCTAACGGTAGCTTCTTGTTCACAATAGAGTTTATTCATCCGTACAACCAAGTACTGAGGCATACCATGATCCACACAAAGGTTTTGCAAATTTACAAATTTGCATGTGCAAAATTAACTGGCTCCAATATAAGAAAGTCAATATCAAAAAGAAGCTATCACAAGACAGAGTCCCCTCATACAGTATGCCAGAAGAAGCCTAAAGAGAAGCTATCACAAGACAGAGTCCCCTCATATGCCAGAAGAAGCCTAAAGGCTCAAGTTACAGCCTTGAGTTTGCAAGAGCTGAGCAGCATTGTTGAGGGCAGGACATTATGGAGATTTCTCATTTATCGGGTCACTATAAGTCTGAGATGTCTTGATGGCATGTAGCAACAACAATTTTGCATTAGAAAAAGCTTTGATACCTGCAAATATTTATATACTTTAAAATTATGTAACTTAATTGATAGTCAGAGTAGCTGCATCCAGTGTGCCATTATTGCAGCAAAGAGATTTAAAGTCCAAAGCTGGATTGACAAATGCACATTGTTCAATGCCTGGAGAATCTTAATGCTTTACCTATGACCTAATGTGTACTTTATAGATGTCAATTCTAATTGGCATTCTGGGGATATACAGTTCAGTTTATATTATTGTATACTGTAGGCTGGAGTTTTACTGTTATTATGGTCTTTGTGTCAGCAACACATTCTTTACTACGAAGCTTCAACACAGAGTTTCCTGGAGACATCCAAGATCCAAGCATTGGCATCAGCTCGATTTGATCTTCACCAGAAGTTCTAGCCGTCCTAGTATTACAATCACACGCAGTTACCAGAGTGCTGGTGTGTAGTAGAGTAAAATTGCGAACAAAGAGATTGTATCACACGAAAAAGGAAGGAAGACCACGTATTGACATCAGCAAGACTCGCAATCAAAGAAAAGTGCAGGAATTTGCCCAAGCGCTTGAGGAACCCCTTCCAGGTCTGTTAATGTAAATGCACCTGAACGATGGGAACATTTCAAGAACGCAGTGTATAACACTGCCTTGTCCACCTTTGGCAAGAAGACCAAAAAGATGGCTGACTGGTTCGAAGCCCATTCAGAGGAGTTGATGCCAGCCATCAAGGATAAGGGGAGAGCTCTAGCAGCATACAAAGCCTGTGCTAGCGAGTACAACTTGCAAGCTCTTTGAGCTGCTTGTAGCCAAGTCCAACAAGCTGCCAGGAGATGCTCCAATGATTATTGGCTTTAGCTCTGCTCTCAGATACAGATGGCAGTGGACCCAGGTAACATCAAAGGAATGTATGACTGTATCAAGAAGGCTTTAGCTCCAATACAGAAGAATTCTGCTCCCTTGAAGTCTGCTACAGGTGTGATCATCCAGGACCGAGCACAGCAGATAGAGCGCTGGGTGCAGCACTACTCTGAACCATATTCCAGAGAGAATGTAGTAACCGAAGAAGCATTAAATAATATTGAGTGCCTGCCTGTCTTGGGAGAGCTGGACAGTGAACCAACCTTAGCAGAAATAAAAGCGGCCTTGGATTCCCTTGCTTCCAGCAAGGCGCCTGGAAAGGATAACATTCCTGTTGAAGTGCTGAAGTGCTGTAAAGAGATAATGACCACCAAACTGTATGAAGGCTTTCATATCTGCTGGAGGGAAGGTGGAGTACCACAGGACATGGAGGATGCAAACATCGTCACATTGTACAAGAACAAAGGAGACAGGGGCGACTGCAATAACTACCGTGGCATCTCTCTTCTTAGCATTGTAGGGAAGCTGCTTGCCCGTGTTGTGCTGAAGAGGCTCCAGGTGCTTGCAGACAGAGTCTATCCAGAATCACAGTGTGGATTTCGAGCTAATAGATCCACCACTGACATAGTGTTCTCCCTCAGACAGTTGCAGGAAAAATGCAGGGAACAACAACAGCCACTCTTTGTGGCCTTCATAGATCTCACAAACGCCTTTGATTTGGTTAGCAGGGATGGCCTTTTATAAAATACTTCCCAAGATTGGATGTCCACCTCGACTCCTTAATATCATCAGATCCTTTCATGAAGGGCACTGTAGCTTTTGATGGATCAATATCATCCCTTTGATATCCGAAGCAGGGCTGTGTCCTCGCGCCAACTCTGTTTGGGATCTTTTTTACTGTCGTGCTGAAGGATGCCTTTGGAACTGCAACAGAAGGTGTCTATCTACGGACTAGAACAGATGGAAAGCTCTTTAATGTCTCTAGATTGAGAGCAAGAACCAAAGTCTAAGTGAAATGCATGCAGGAGTTCCTCTTCGCTGATGATGCAGCCATTGTTGCCCACTCTGTTGAAGACCTCCAACAACTCATGAATCATTTTAGCAAGGCCTGCCAAGACTTTGGACTAAAAATCACCCTGAAGAAAACACAAGTCATGGTCCAGGGTGTGGAGTCATCTCCCTCTATTATCATCTCCATGCAAGAATTGGAGGTTATTGATGACTGTGTACCTTGGCTCAACAATCTCTGACACTCTCTCCCTAGATGTTGAGCCAGATAAAAGCATTGGCAAAGCAGCTACCATGTTCTCTAGACTCACAAAGAGAGTATGGCTTAATAAGAAGCTGACGGTATATACCAAGATCCAGGTCTATAGAGCCTGTGTCCTGAGTACACTCCTGTACTGCAGTGAGTC